GTGTTAATTAGTTGTCAACGATAGCCATGTGATGTGAGTATCAGTCACATGGAGGCAGTGCTTAAAAGCCTGAATTTTGCCTGAAACTCTCCGACTGAAGAAGTCTCTTGGAGAGACGAAACGTTTATCAGTACATTACAGAAAATAATGAACTTTTTCACAATATGCTAATTTTTTGGGAAGGACCTGTATTGTCAGTATATTGTCACCTAGTGCAGTGGGTTCCCAACCCTGGTCCTCTTCTTCTTCTTTTTCAATTTATATGGCGGTTGGACCCTGGTCCTCAAGTACTTTTGTGCAGCATGTTTTACTTGTTTCCCTGCTCTTCAGCAGGTCTTCAGAAGATTGTTAATCACTCATTCATTCAAAACAGGTGTGTCAAATCAGGGAAACATCTAAAATTCACTGCTTTCAATGTTGACCAACACCTCAAGAGCTTCTCTGAGCTTGATGAGACATTTTCAAAATATAATATTGACTYRGTTTTATGTTTTTTTAGTATTGCCTCTGGAAGCCATTGATTCTTTGCCATTTATTAGTAAATAATAAATCAGATCACGTGAATTATACTGTAGCAGTGATTCTCAACCCTGGTCCTCAAGGACTGCTTTCCTGCATGTTTAGATGTTTCCCTGATTTGACACACCTGGTTTTGAATGAATGAGTGATTAACAATCTTCTGAAGACCTGCTGAAGAGCAGGAAAACAAGTAAAACACGCTGTATGGGGTACTTGAGGACCAGGGTTGGCAACCACTGACCTGGTGGATAAGTGACACACAAAATGTGTAACAGTTTTCACCCTCAGCTGTTAACAATTAACACTGATCAAGAACATTTATAGACCTCAGTTAGTGCTTCTAAATTTAGCCTATAAATTTAGCAAGTGATAATAAACTAATAAATTTTAAAATTAGCAAAAGCACTAATCAGGAAATTAGTTCCCCTATTAGTGCTTTAGGGGAGTTGTGCCCTCGACTGCTTTTGAGCATATGTCTGTACATTTTTTAATTTATTTATTTATTTATTTATTTATTTATTTATTTATTTATTTATTTATTTATTTAATGTTTTACTTCTTTGGACACTGTCAGTATATTCCAGACTTTTCAAAACAATGTATTGTTTTTAAGTCACTAAATTGAGACTAATAAATCATCCAAACATTACTTACAATCCTACATCACCTGCTGTTGTTGTGGCATCTTTGAATTGTGTTGAGAAATAACATAATTACAATTGCTTTGGTCGAACCTTGAAAATCCCATCATGCACAAACTCAGTCTCCTCTCATGCAGCCTGTTGCACTAAAAGGCTGTGGTCAGGTTGACTCTCGGCTAATTTTACATGCAGTTTTTGTTCAGTATTTGTAAATGTGAACCAGATTTTAGTGTTGGCTAAGATAAAAGAGTTGTGGCCAATTTATGATATATTYTGCTAATAGTCAAGGTTGGATCGAACTTATTTTTTGCCAAAGTTTTAAGAAAATAAGTCCCTAATGGTAGCACAGAGTATGTTACAGAGATGATGCTTGGCTAATACCACAGTAAGTTTTAGCTCTATGTGTACAAATAACTGAATTATAGTATTTTAGTTATTCCTTTTTTTTTTCTTGTATGTGTGTGTTTTCTAAGATGTTTGCTGTTCTGGACATCTTGAACTGGGTTCTCTCTAAAGGTTGGAGCCACCTTTTCATGACTACTTTCAGAAAGTCTTCATTAAAATTCATCCAAGTGTTCATGACACATTTAGCTAACAGTGTTGACTCCAACAGTTGATACTAAAGTTTTAACCAAATATCTCACATGATCTGTTGGTGCTCCAGTAATCGTGTGGCGCAGCTCACTCTCTGCTAATGCCACATCAAATTTTAGCACAGTGTCTGCAAAATTGAAAATTGCTATTTTTGTGTTTTTTAATAAGGTGGATTAGCGGTGGCGATGAATGAGGGTGGCTCTGCAAATTAACAAATTGCAGATGTTCAACCAATGATTACTTTCTGAAAGTTTAATTAAAATCAATTCAGTGGTTTAAGAGATATTTTGCTAATACAGACAGGCAAAAATATCATCAGATGTCTTTTCAAAATWTGCTCCTAAACTTAAGAAACTGTGTTTGACTACTCCAACTAGGCTGCACTGTGAGCACAGGTCCACTGAGAAATTTGCCGTTTCAGCAACATTTAATTTAAAAACTGTACTTCAGAGGTTAAACAAGTGTTTATAATTAATTTCAATATATTCCAAGTTACAAAGGGCATGGAATTTTTCCTTTTTTTTTGTATCCAAAAAAAAAACTAAACCATGAGACTAAAGTATCGAAACGAACCAAATCATGAATTTTCTGTATCGTTGCGCCCTTAACATGAGCTAGGAAGCAGTAGCTGAGACAGAAGTTTATCCTGCTGTTTTTCAATAGATGGCTGTCTGCAGCCAGATTAGTCAAAAATACTTGTGATCACAGATGATTACCACCAGCTATTAAAGAACTACACATATGATAACCATCAACATGGGCTGATTTCTTCTAACTYGTTTGTTCTACAGCAATTACTGGAACTGATGATTAAAGAGGAGGAAACTCTGAAAAAGAAAGTCATGACCAACATCCAAACATGCCAGACAGAACTGGAGAAACTCTACATGGAACTCCAGATGGCTGGATTTGAGGTAACTTCTTTTTCTCTACATATTAACTTTGACGTTAAAAAAATCTCGACAGTTTTAAATCGTCAGACTGCTGGATAATCATGACATGTCCCACAACTTTTTTTTCAAACAAGGTCTGCCACTGTTTTATTTCTTTGACTCTTTTTTATGTTTTACTGTAGATTCTGAATTTTCTTCCATTAATTTAAATCAGATATTTCATTTGAGCTAATTTTATTTTTAATAGTCAAATTTAGCACTTTGAGTATAGCACACAATAAAATGAATAAAATGTAAACTAACTTGCAAATAAAGTAAAAGGTAAAGGTGCTTTTGTCACCAATGCATGTTCCAATGCGAGGATGAAATGTGTGCTCTGCATTTGACCATCACACATGAGAAACACCCAAGTGGAGCAATAGGGCGTCTCAGGGGTAGACATAAGGATATTTTTCAGGTTGTCCAGCGGACAACTTGTTGACAAAACCTGGT